CAGCTCTGACAACGCACAGTTACTGCCTTTGCTATAGTCATACAGCCTACAAAAAGGAAGAATTCAAGCCTCTTCCCTTCCCCAAATGTTCATCGAACTCCCAAGTTCAAGACAAGGTCCCACAACCAATGACAGGACCTGCCAGCCAGATTAATTCCAATTCTAGTCACCACAGAAACACCCAAGACAGTCCTGATGCTGCCTATGCTCAATTCAATCAGTTCCTTACGTTCAACTGTCTCTTACCCCAATTCACAATAATTCTTACTCATGCGTTTAACTTCAAAACCAATAAAAGGGACTTAATGCATGGGGAAGCTCTGCACTGAACTGGTGCTTTGGCCAAAGGGAGCTTCTTTGGCAGGAAAGCTTGACAGTCGTGCTAGGGCAGCTTTGAAAGTGCACATCAAATAAGGAAGTTAAAATTGCAGGTAAAGGTGTTAATTTGTTTGGTGAGGTCCTTTTTTCCAAACGTTTAGGCTCACTGGGGTCCAACTCTGTACCAGCAGCAAAACACACACAGCTGCTGCTTCTGCCTCTAGAGTTTTAGGACCCAGCTCTTCCCTCGCTCAGTCACGGCAATAGCTCCACTCTGAGAAGATAATTTAGAGATATATACATGGGGAGGAGGGGAAATCTTTACATTTCTTCAGTTGTTACCATCCTCTATTAAATTTCTTTAAACACGCTACCTCAAGGAAGAAGGCCAGTAAAGAAAAAAACATCCTGAAGAGGAGCCTGAAGTATTTTTATCACATACTGTTAGAGACCCGCTAAAACTAAAAGTGCTTAATCTTCTTGCCTCCTGAACAGTCAATAAAGCATTTCTTTAGAAGCTCAGACTCATAATAACAAACCTAATGCTGTAGCTTCCACAGTGGCTGGTAAAATGGGTTACAGTCATGCCTGATTTCCTTACAGCTTATCGTTTGTGCATGCATAGTTAGAGCTCCTTTTCTTATGCACATTACCTCGTGTTAATCAATACTAAAGTTCATCTGCTTCTTTATCCACTTAGTAACTTCAGTGTCATGAGACCTTTTTGCAAGTCTTCACAGTCTGTTTTAGCTTTGGCTACTCTGAATGCACAGGTTCACCACCTCATCCCAACGATCCAGGAAGACACTGCACAGCATGGACCTCCATACGACACCACTGCTAGCTCTGCTGCAGCGTGCGATCTGCCCTCTCGTTTCCTACCAGTTATTAAACCACTAGAGAATATGTGACAGCTTAGGGGTTTTTAAGAAACCTAGGTCAGGGCACCTGTCAAAAGCGTTTTCAAAATCCAAATATATCAACCAGACCAGCCCTATTGGAATGCTGACTCTTTCACAGAACAGTAATGTATGTGTTCCACCTGTAAAAGCTCCATCAGCTGATCCCTACTGTATCACATTAATCCCTGCCTGCTAATTTCTATCTTTATTATTGTTGCAACCACTTTGCCTGGTTGCCTGGTCTGAAAGTCAGCCTTACGACACTATACTTAGACTGATTCCCTCTGGAGCCCTTTTTCCCCTTTTGGCCCCAAAGTGACATCACATTTTCCACATTCTGTTCCTGTGTCCCTTAGAATGCATTGAATACCAGCTAAAAGAAAACCTTCAGCATCAGGGGGCGGAGGGAGGGAGATGTTAAGAATTACCATAGCAAGGAAAATACAGAAAGCCAATCATATCGGTCATTGTAAATGTTTCAGCACGTACCCCAAGCTTTAAGCTTTTGGTGGATTTACAGAAGAAATGAGACTACCTAGAGTGTGTCATTACAGACAATAATTAGTTGTTGCAGGATTCAGGCCTTACTCACTAGTTCCCTCCCAATATAAATGGTATTTCCGCACAGTTGACGCATCATTCACCGCTTTCTCATAAAGGGAGCCACGTTGCTCCCACTGAAGCATCTTGAACGCTTCATGGGTTTCCAGTTCGTTACTCTATTTTTCATTCTCACATAACTTATACTCTTCTCCCTAAACTTCATCTCTTCAGCCCCTTCACAGTAAGAAAACGCACGTTTCTCTATGGAATCCTGTCCTATTCAGAAAGAAACCATTTGAGAAGAAGGGAATTAAAACTTGTCAAGCTATCTGTGCTCAGAGAAACCACCCCCTTGAGGAGAATAGGGACTGGTCCTCAATGGGTCATTCTCAGCTTAGTAACACAAAGTTAGGTGGGAATTAGGCAGCCCATAAGCACAGCTACTTTCTCACCTGTACAGCAGAAACCAGGAAGGAACCAGTCCTCCACATCATAACTAACCATACAAGACAAAACAGCAGCAAGCCCGGAGGTGAGGAAGGAAAAGGCTTCCTCACCAGCTGCTTAACCCACCGCCACCACACAGTCATAACGGGGCGAGGGACACCACTGACCTGGGAACAATGACAGAAACCAAGGAGAACACCATCCACAGCCACAAATGCTGCCTTAGAAAAAAATGACTCCAGAACCCATCACTGATTCTATCCCCTCTGCCTATCTTGTACTTATTATTGGACAGGCTGCAAGAAAAAGCCACGAAAGAGATAATCAGGAGGAGCGTAAAGCAAAAAGCTGTTAAAAGAGGGACTGAAGTTAACCGAGGATCGCAGCGCATCTGCCAGCGTTTGCTGATTCGTCTCTCAATTGCTATGATACTTAAAGCAGTGAGGAAGAAAGGTAATTTATTCCCATCATCCTCATCATGAGATACTAGCTGACTAAATCTTGATCAGCAGAAGCTGGTGAAGAGGAACTTACAACACAGAATGTTATTGCACAGTGGGCTGTGTAAAGTAATAGCAGTAAATGTTACCAAAAGCTTCTTGGCATTGCTCAGGAGGTGGTGAAATTATCAGTGTTTAGTACTAAAAGATCACCTATATGGGACTGACACTTTTCCTTTGACTACAAGTTCTAAGAATCAGGATATATGAGATTTCATTTGTGCTGACTCATAATTTTTACAGAAGAGCTATATTACTGGAGGATTGTTTCTGTGGGCAAACACTGTAATTTATACAGTGCAAAAGAGGAAGGGGTTAAGAAAGACATTTAATAGGCACTGCATATTTAAACTGTGGATCAGAAAAGATGCCTAGTTACTTTATTTTTTGAGGAGCATTAAGACTAGTAACTAGCATACCATTTGGATGGTCTAGATCTTAACTCAGGAACTAACAGGCTGTTTCAATTAGCAGAGCATTCTTATCCTCTCAGCACAGCACAGGACTCTTCCAAATTGTGGTCAACAAGTATGTGGTGAGAAGGACACAGCTGGAACCCTGGGCTCAAACAAACAGTATCTTCAATAATGTTTTCAGCTGAGAGCTAAACCACAGAGACATGTGAGGGTCAACAGCAGCTTGTTGACCCATAAAATCTGGAAATTCTTGGTGCAGTGTGCCAGACAGGAGAGAAATACCACCCACACTGGCAGCATGGGATACATATATATCCCATGTTGGAGAAGAAGCTCACACAGCTGAGCAGCACAGCTGCTCAAGGTCCTGCCAAGCCCCTTGGCATTCGAGTAGAGCTCTCCCCTTGGAAAGCCCTCTGCTGTGCTCCCTAATGAAGAAAATAGGTAGACTACATGACCCAAGGCATATAATCTCCTGCCATCTGGGATCATGCACTTGTTGTCTTTATTAGACTTTGTCGATCTGTCTGAAGACACCAGATAAACCAGAGCTTTCCACAAGGTGCAAGTCATACTGGTAAGCTCCACCGGCCACCCTCAAAGCACAGGAAAAAGGGTGAAGTCTCTTGGCTACACATAGCCGCAGGCACACAAGTGTGGTGAAGTGCAAAGACAGTTTCATTAAGCTGCAGGCACAAGGAGCTGGAAGCATGCTTTAAATGTCTTCCTGAGGCAAAGAGCCTCAGAAATGCCAACGCTCCATTATTTCTGGTGCCACGACCAAGTGCTAAGCCTCAGGTAGAAGAGGCAGGCACAACAAATGGGCTCTGCTAAAACACACACATAGAAAGGGTGTTCCTTAGCAAACCCCCCTCCACCTGGGAATCTCTAAATTACTGTGCCAGGTTTGCTGTATTCCACCATTTAATACGACATCCTCTTTTCTAGCACACTGGAAAAATGGAAGAAACCACATTTTCACCTTTGAGTTTCCACCAGCTTAAAATAGCCCCAGTTACTCCTTTGTTTTCCATTTAGCACAAACTCACAGCCTTAAGAAATACAGAGTATTCTCTGTGAGCAACAGTGTCAGCTATAGGTATTTAGGCTGACAGTCTCGTTATGCTAATGTTGATTTGTACGGTTACTCAAGGTGCATATTTTAGCTCTCCTGTGCACATTACTTCAATTCTACCTTCAAATGCTAATCTCTTGTAACCTATGTATTCAGACTCTTCTGTGTGGGTGATTAAACAGTTATAAATATGAATAAAGCTCTAAATAATTGGGTTGTATTTTTATTAATTTTAAATAAAAGTAGCACAAATTTTACAATTTGAAAGGTGCTCTATTTCCTAAGTTGGAGAGACATCTATTTCTCTCCCACTACTTCATTTCCATACTCATGATTTACAATGACATGTGAGAAGCAGAAGGAAACAAAGCCCCCTCAACGTATCTCCTTAACCTCAAGCAGACAGACAGCACCAGCACCAGTGTCTAAGCTTTGCTGGCAGTGCAGAGACTACTTCTGCCAAAACTGAAGCCTGTATGTGCATTGGTTTTGGACCAATGATGCCAAAGGAAAATTTGTCTCTTGCTCTAATGGAGGGAAAGGCAAAACTTGTTGTCAGTGATGTTAACTGGCTTCAAGGAAGCCAACAGTCTAGCACTGAATCTGTTCTGAGGCTGCCAACTCTTTCCAAAGTCAACAAGTGATAACAGCTCTCAGACACATTTAAACAGTTGTGGCTACCTCTCTATCCCAAGACCATTCCCTTGAGGCTATCCAACTCTGTTCTAGGCTGAAGGCTTCCAGCCCTGTTAAAATCCATCTAGAAAACTATTTTAAAAAAATTGAAATCTGAAGTTACCTTTCCAATGCCAGGGTTGTCCTTGATTTTGGACACAGCTCTCAGAAGGCATGGTGGTGCTGGGGGAGGACAGAGCTGCAGGATGCCACTAAAGTTAGTAGCATAAATAGAGAAGTCGTGTGTGTGTGGCAGGGGCGGATGGTATTTCTTTCTCTTCGAAGACAGGTTAAGCTTCTGTGCTGCTCTGTATAAAAGTAATAGCAAGAAAGGACAATGTTACTAGGTGTTAATGGGACTATGGACCAGACAAACAGATGCTCATTGTCATCACTGACTGCTTAACAAATCAAGTCATTGTGTTCTAATCTGATTTCATAAGGACAAACCATCAGGAGACTAATAGAAGGAAATATGGGTAGAAAAATTACTGGCAAAATATTCAGTTAATTTCTCCCCCAACAGAGTTTCAATTATAATTTCACTTTCCCCTCTTTCCCGCAACAGCTTGACAGCTGAATCCTAAAATGCTAAAATCTCACTGACACAATAAAAAGCTGAAATAATCCCCTTGTCACTGGCAGGACCAGATGGACTTTGCTAGTGATAACATTATGAAAGTGGTTCTTTGTACTGTACAAGTTACTCAAGGCAGAGAATAACACTCCAAGTCAGCTGAGCTCAAGATTCTCTCTTGTTGGCTGCACTGAAAATCCTTAGATAACAGAGAATTTCCTTCAAGACTGATTGTTTTTTTCCTCCTCAATTCCATTCTTTCACATTAAAAGGGAAAGCTATTAAAAAGACATGCTTTAATGTTCTGAATGATAATGATCCTGCTTTTGAAATGCAGAATTTCAAAACATAAAAGATGAAGAAGGAAAAATTAAAACATACAATTAAAATTGTAACATTCTTCCTTGTGAATAAGAGTAGGAACATAATCAGTTTTTCTGCTATTCCCTGTCAGCAACACCAAACAGTATAGCAAGAAACAAAACCAGAAACTCAACTCTACATCAAAACCCACATGGGAACAATCACCCTGCAGAGTTAAGTGGAACAAATCTATGTGTCAGTGAGCACACGCTGGGCAACTGGGGGTGGCAGCGAGGGTGAAATCTCAGCTCTGTCAAAGCCAAGGAGAGCTTTGCCACCTGAATAAGACATGTGTGATCTGATCCCGAGACTGTCAGTCCATAGCCTGCCCTCAGATACATCAGATAAAAGCATCCAACATGCTACCTTTACCATTAATTTGAATGACTGTGTCATGGTTTAACCCCAGCCAGCAAGCACCACGCTGTTCACTCCCCCACAGTGTGGTGGGGGAAAGAATCAGAAGAGTAAAAGCGAGAAAACTCATGGGTTGAGATAAAGACAGTTTAACAGGTAAAGCAAAAGCCGCGCACACAAGCAAAGCAGAACAAGGAATTCATTCACCACTTCCCACAGGCAGGCGGGTGTTCCCCCACCTCCAGGGAAGCAGGGCTCCATCCCGCGTAACGGTTACTTGGGAAGACAAACACCATCACTTCAAACATCCCTCCTTCCTTCTTCTTCCCCCGGTTTTATATGCTGAGCCTGACATTGTACGGTATGGACTACCCCTTTGGCCAGCCTGGGTCAGCTGTCCCGGCTGTGTCCCCTCCCAGCTCCCGTGCACCCCCAGCCTGCTCGCTGCAGCCCAGCACGAGAAGCTGGACTGTCCTTGACTGCCCAGCAACAACCCAAAACATCAGCACGTTATCAACATTTTTTCATCCCAAATCCAAAACATAGTCTCACACTAGCTTCTATGAAGAAAATTAACTATCCCAGCTGAAACCAGGACAGATTGTTAAACCAGCAAAAATGCAAAGTGTGACACTGCCAGCATCTGTGGGCGACCTGAGACCATGCTACTGATGCCAACAGGTATGCCGGGGACAAAGCACTCTTCTGGTCCATGCTTGCAATATAAGGGCACTTTGGACAAATTAGTTTACACATACGTGATGACAAAAAATCTCTTTATACAACACTACTTTGTATTTTCATCATGCCTTCCAGCGCGAAATCTCCAAGTACTTTTCAGTGGCATCACAAATTGGCAGTAGCATCTGCAAAGTATTATAAGCAAGAGACATACGGAGAAACTAAGGCAGTGCTTTGCTGTCATACCTAATTCAGGGTAAATCTAGCCCCCAAACCTTGCCACAAATCTAGTCATCAGGCAGCCTCAGGCTGAGTCGGCTTGCTAAACTGATCAGAGAAGGATATTCTTCCTTTGCTTATATTTATGCTGGGTCAGAAGCAAAAATGAACACTGAGAGCAGGAGGGCTGCACAGTTTCTTCCAGCAGCACTACTTGTTTCAAATGAGCTACAGTACAAAGAACCGGTTGTGTCTGAGGAGCAAAATTACTCACTTGGATCAAGATTAGACAGCTAGCCAGTATGAAGGGCAGGACTCTCAATATAGATCTCCAAAATTCCCAGTCCTATGCTCTATATTCCCAAGCACGTGTTAAACTCCTGAACCTTTTTACTTCATCAAATTCTAGATATACAGACGCCCCACATGCTTCCTTCTCCCTCTACAAACACTGCAGTATTTAGAAAAAGACAAAAGACTAGGGTGATGAAAAAATGAGGCTCTAGTTCCAAACTCAGAGAGAGCCAGAAGCCACTGTCTTGCGATGGACACGTTGGACTTTTGCCTCTGAGGAACGAAGCAGCTTTTGACTCCTGCTCCATGCTGAAACCAGCAGGAACTGCATCCCACAGCAAAGCAAAGCACTGCAAGCACGGGTTTATACAGAACCTCAGGGTTTTGGTGGCAATGAGAACTGATTTAACTGCCTAAATCTCAAATCCCCTTGCTAATACCTCATCCAGTATGAAAACATACGCTTGAAATAGGACACCAGGCAAACAGTTCCACAACTTCACTATGGTTGCAGCTGCACATTAAAACCATAAAGCCTCCTAAATGATACGCAGCTTTATTGTACAGGAAAGAGTCTCTACCTGTTGGTACTCTCATTGTTGAACCCAAGACAGTCATTACCCTCTATCTCCAAGTACCAATTAACAATTGCGGTTATTATTTAATCACCTGGTTGATTAATACGAAAGATGATGTTTATTTCCGTGTTTACATGCTATGATCCCCTGTTGAAATTATAAAAACTTCTCAAGAGAACGTCTTCCAAGTGCAATGAAGATATCCTGATGAAATAATTATTCCTTCTATAGATCTGGCTGAAGGAACTCCTCCGGGAAAGATACGTGAAAGAGTGAGATACAAAGGACGAATTTACTCAAGAGTTGTGTATTCAAGGACCTAAGTAAGCGCTAACAGCTCAATGAGTAAATGCATCCAAAAAGGCCATGCTAAGCAAAATGTATAAACAAATAAACAGAAAAATCAGTCTTTTTAAAGTATAGCATCTCCCAAAATAGCTCAGTAACACATTTTTGGACCATTTCAAAAAGCAAATCCAAGATATCAAATCCACTACTAGTTGTCTTAACTTTCCCACCACGACAGAACAACTTTCAAAGTGATTCGCTTCCAACAGTATTCACACACTTTCAGCATCTCCACTATTCAAAGGACAGTGCCATATGCTAGCTAAAGCAATTAACTGCTACAGTGCTGATAAATCCTCTTCCTACGAGCCTGGCGTCCCACGATTTTACTAAGAAATTTGGCAAAGGGACTGCTGATGTCCACGTGAGATAACAGGAAACTGAAAAAGCAGAGGAAATGGTGTAGCTGTTGTAGAAAATAATCAGTGCTTTCATGGGCAACAGGCCAGCTGCACTAATAATGATGTATGTGGTTCACATTTAAAAAGCCTCTCTTCGCAGGTAGGAGTACACAAAGCTTAATTACAACCTCTCTGTGTTTGAATGCAAGAATTACTTTGTCCGACATTACAATGCGGTCACTTCTGGAGTTGAACATCACAGACATCTCGCGCCAGCAGTATCAAACATCTTGTGGGGTTTATTGGTTTTTGTTGTTTGGTGTTTTTTTTCTAAAAGGGAAAAGTTAGGGATCTAATGGAAAGAATTGGGCAATTTAGGCAAAACGAACCATCACGATCAAACTGTAGACTCCGACTAGGAATTTAAGTAACTGGCATCCTCAGCTCCTACAAAAATCACAGTCAGTTCTTTCACTACTAGAAAAGCCAGCTGGGCAGCAGCCTTCATATGCTTTGCGTATGACTGGTCCAGGCAAAGAGCACCACCAATATATTGGTGGCATCCCAGCCAAGTACTCATTAGGCCAAAACATAGGCCAAGCTGGTTTGGATATGGGCCCAACTAAATTAAACAAAATCCAACTTTGCAAAACTCTTTACTTCAGTAAAATTCATGAGGGTATGTATTTACAGGGAGCCACTTCTGAGACACTCCACAGTGCTGGCTTTTCTGCAGTTCTTAGCCATCAACTCATTACTGAATTTACACCTAAGTCTCCAGTCCTTTTTTTCTCCAGCATTCCTCTTCTCAGGAGGACTTTGTCCCTTGAAGACAGGGAAGGCTAAACTCTCATAAACTGGGCCCTTTTTGCCTAGCACCAGAAAGACAGAAGTCAAGCTGTATCAGACCACTTTCTGAGGAGCCTAATTAGGTGCTATGCCTCTTTCCTGATTTGCTGCTTTTTCTCAAATTTAACCTTGCAGAGGAGGCCCTCACATCCATCTTCAGCACCACAGTGGGCTGTCTGATCTTCTCCAATATCAACTTACGTTTCTTCACAAGGACAATTATGACCTGTAGGGAATACTATGCAAAACTTAGGCATTACAGTCATTTGTTTTTCTGGGCATTTTCCAAGCATTTTGTCACAGCTCTGACACAGATGCACACTTTCCCTTTGCTTTCCCCATTCAATCTCCACCAAGCACTCTTCTACAAAACATTCTTGCAAGGGAAACTAAGCTCCACACTCTTATGCTTCTCTTCCAATTAAACTATGAGACAGCCATGTATATTATTTTTACCTCTGGCTGTGAGATCTACTGTCTGCATTTTGCTTAACTCTTTCCATCTTTAATAGAAGATGTCTTTTAAGATGCTCTGGAGAGTTCTTTTCTCATAGCTAGGTGCCACGGTAGAAAATAAAACTAATGTATGGCACATGTGGGGGCACTCAAATATCAAATGACAAGAGACAGTCTCTAACCTGCTCCTTCCCCCACACAATTTACAGATTACTAGGTTTTCTGCCATGCCTGGATGAGACCAG